CTTACCAATTGTTCAATACGCTTTTTTGCTCACATCTATTTTTCACATCTTAAAGCTCAAAAGTAAAAATTTATTGGTATAGGATATCTGATATCATGAAAATGATTTTTTTTTTGTCAAATATAAGAGGGATCAACAAATTAAGGACATGGGATAGTTTCTAAAACTTTGTTCTTTTGGAATTTTTAGAAAGGGATTTTTGTTAAAAAAGGAAAAAAAATTAAAAAGTTAGAGGCCTAAGGGCCTGTTTGGGAGGGTTGAGTTGAACGTTCTTGATAGCTATTAAAAGAGGTTAAAGCAGACAACCATTCAAATGACTGGTTCACAGCAAATTTGGGCTCTCTAGATTTTTTCACCAAGCATAACTTGTATAAGCGGTCTGTGGGGCCCACCTAAGAAATCCAGAAGCTATTGTGATTCAACTCTCTCAAATGAGCACTAAATTTGGTTGTGGCTTATCTGTGTGTAGACCTGTTCGTGGCCCGGCCCAGGCTGGGTCGGGCTTTGCCTATGTATCAATAGAATACATTCAGGCCCGACCATTGGGCCTAGGTCTTCAGCCCGAGTCCGACCAAAAAATTGAAAATAGATTTTTTTTTCTTTTTATTCAATAAAAAAATGTTTTATTTGTATTAAAAGCCCTCAAAACTCGAAAATAATAAAAAATCTCACTATTACTTGAAGACAGAGAAGAGAAACAAAAAAAAATATTGTATATATATTATTAAATAAAATATATTTTTTATTATATAATATATATTATCAAGTTGGGCTTGGGCTCGGGCCTGACTTTTTTAAGAAAGCCTGAGCCCAAGTCCGTGGTCCTAAAATAATGTCCAAGCCTAACTTAGAACAGGCTAGGGCAGGCTGGCCCATGAACAGGTCTACCTGTGTGTAAGACAAGATGTTACTGTTAGGAGTGAGCATGGGTCAGTTCAGCTGGGTTTCAAGGTAGAACCTAGAACTAGGGCTGTCAATGGATTGGCTCTGGTTCGGAACATGGTAGAACTAGTCCCGAACCAACAAAAAATATCATGGACCCGGAACCAAATCAGACCCTCTACGGTCTGTAAATCTTAGAACCAAAACCGAACTGATTGGTTCTCAGGATAATCGGGTCTAACCCAATGGACCCGACAATAATAAACCTGTGAAAAAAAAAGACAACATATGAGCTCAATAATGGAGATCGATTTAAAACAAAAACTCTTGATGGCTTAATCCCAACAGCTGAATTCAACAATGTTTGATTTCAAACAAAACCCTGGCTTAATCCCAACAACCAAGTTCAATAGTGGGATTGATTTCAAACAAAACCCTCAATGGCTTAACCCCAATAGCTAAGTTCAATAGTAAAGAACTGAACATCAACTATTAAAAAAAGAAGAAATCAACTGGTAAAAACTAAAACATTAGAAATAGAGTAATGGTGGAGAAGGAAGAGACCATAGAGAAAAACCAGCGAGAGAGGAGACTGATGGCGACAAAGAAGAGACCGGCAAGAAAATATACTGATAGTGAGAGAGGAGAGACGAACGAATGGTGAGAGAGAAGGTTAGGTTGTCTCAACTGCAGCCCCTTTTCCTTTTGCCTTTTGAATGGAGAAGAAGACTCCAGCTTCGTTTTTGCCTTTCTAATGGTGAAGAAAACAAAATGGCTCATTTTGGTAGGGCTTTGAATGAAATCCTACCAAAATGACCATTTAAATTATTAAATATTACATAATATATAATCTATTAACTATTATATATATTATACATTTAATATTATATTATATAAGGTCGGACCGAGTCCAAGTGGGTTTGGGACATGGTGGACCCAGTTCCGAACTGATAATAATCAGGACAATTTGTTAGGAGGAATTATAGAACTAGAGCTTGTCCAATCAGTCCAGGTCCATCAGACCCAACCCATTGACAACCCTATCTAGAACTTACTTTATAGGGGTTAGATCCAGGTCCATCAAATCAATTCCCTGGGTTGATTTGGGTAGGGCAAACCTTTAGACCTTGAAATTGGCCTATGTTGGGGATAGGGATGGCAATGGAGAGGGTTTTGTAAACTTTAAACCCTACTCACACCTCCTTAAGCCTCTAAACCTGTACCCTCTTCAAAACCATTAATGGGTTGGAGTTTTAGAATCCAAACCCTAGGTGAGCATTTGACCAAACTCTAATTGGGAAAACCAAACTGAAGCTGAACTAGGTTAAAACCAAAATAATCAAACCGAAATTTTTGTGGTTATTTTGATTTAACCGAATTTAATTGTGGGAGTTTACAGTATAGGGGAAAGATCATTCTAATTAGACAAACTGGGCCCTAGGTTTCTTATGTTTACCTAGTTCCAAATGTGAAGGGGTTTGAATTGATCCTGTTGCAAATATATCTGTATAAATTTTATGTAGATTTGTCTTGAAAACCCAACTCTTGTTGGTTTTAGAAATACCCAAACAGAACCCAATCTAAATTTAAGCTAGGCTTATTACCGTGAACAGAACAGTAAACCTAAACCATCAATATAGTAGAGGTCGTCTAACATCCATCTTCTTTTCCTCTGGAAAATCTAGGTAAACAACATTAATATGAACCATCAACTGCATCGACTTAGAAAAAACCCAAAACTGAAATATAAAACATAATAATATGTAGGGGGACTATGATATAATCATGTCCCCACCAATAATATTTTGAGAAAATCAAAACTTAAAATTGGTTTTTTTCGGTTAATCAATTTTCCAAACTTGAGCACTGAAATTGAAATCAAATATAAAAAAAAACCAAGATAAAAAACCGAAACTAAACTGATAGTTGAAATAACCATACCGAAAAAATCAAAACCAAAATTTCAGTTTGTTTTTTTTTTTTTTTTTTCTAACAAAAAGCTCATCCCTGTTAGAACCCTCCTTCCACATGAAAAATGCAAAATCCTCCCTGACCCTACCCTTCCACATTTGATGGTGGATTGGTGGGGTGGGTCAGGTTGGCGGTTTGGGCCCAAAATCCATGCTAATTTCTTATTATGTATAAACAATAAGCAAGTAAAATAATATGAACAGACATCAAAATTTTCAATTATATGATTAAAACATATAAAAAATACATAAACTATCAATTATCTTTCACATAAAATTCAAAATATTATTAAATTTAACACCTAATACATAAGTTCATATGCCTTCCAACAATATATGGGTCAGGTTTAGCCTAATGTTGTACCTTGCCCATACACACATGGGTTGTAAAATCCGAAAACCCATCTCCACCCCAGAATCCATTTTTAAAAAAAATAAAATCCATCCCAACTAGAAGGTTACCTACCAGGTAGGTTAGAAATCACCATCCCTAGGTGGGGTCGGTTCCAAGAATTTGGAACCAAACCCTACCTGACAAAAATTGGGTAGGGTCAACTTGAAGCTGGTTCAAGATCGTTCCAATCAATTTCAGGTAGAACCTACCCATTTGCTCAATTTCAAATAGAATCTACCCATTTGCTCACACCTAATTAATTGTAAATAAAAAGGAAAAGAAGTATTCATACTGTTAGTAGTGTATGCTAAAATGGTCTAATTTAGTGATTTTATATTTTTCTTTCTTTTTCTCTAGGCCTGGTTTGTTTGCATTGCAGTTTCATTTGCACTAGTATAAGAGTGCAGGAATGCAAGTGATTTGAGATTTTGAGTACATAACTACAGATTCTGATATATTTTTGCTTCAGCCTTCTTTCTTTCTTGTTTTTTGAATAAAAGGAACAATCACAAGAGACACAGAACTCGCACAAAAAAATAAGAAAAACAATGAACCTAAGATCTGAGTGGATTAAGTGAGTGAAAACCGTTTTATGATCCAGACCATTGTTGGCTAGCCAATCCGCTGCACAATTACCTTCCCAGAAGGTATGATTGTACTCGATCGACTAAGGAAGAACACGTGCAATACTTCTACATTCTTGGATGATAGAGGTGCATCTTCATGGTGGTTGAGCTTCTCCTTTCAGCAATTCGATTGTGATGAGGGAATCTCTTTCTATAATGAAATAATAATCTAGGAATTGAGCTGAAAGCTTGTGGGTTTCTAGGACAGCCCACATTTCCGTTACTGTGATTATTGTACACTCTGTTGGTATTGGCCCATTTTGGCTTGTTAGACTTCTCAATTGTGATTTCTTAGAATACACCCATAGGCACACATTCCATTCTCTTTGGTTGAGGCATGAAAATTTAATTAAATAGCATTACAGGTGGGTGGCTCTGGTCGAATCCAGGTTAGGGATTTACTTGGAATCTGATTTTGGCCCTGTATTTCAAGGATTGAATTTGCTTCAACAAATTCCTTGATAGAATTTTGGATCTTATTTACAATCATCATGGGAGTACTATCTTTGATCAGAAAGATTTTTTCATTTCTATTTTTCCATTAGTGCTTATTGTTTCAGCATTTTTATCAGGCCTTTTTTTTCTATTAAATAAAAAGTAAAATAAAACCTAAAGCAAATCTGTTGGGAGGGGTTCTAATGTTTAAACATTAGAAACCCTTTAAATCCTACTATATAGTGTTTCTCTTTTCCTTTTTTTTTTTGGTGGAAAGTATATAGTGTTTCAGTAACTCTAAAAATGGATACATTTAGTATAATATAGTATTATACATATTGATACTTTGAACCATGAGTAAAACCAAAAGTAAAGTTAAGGAGAATTTCTATTCTTCTCATTTGCAGAATTGCACTCATACATTCGTATTAGTGAAAATGAAATTGCACTACAAACAAACAGAGTCGAACGAATAACTAGTTGACTTGAACAAGAGGCAGAGGCAGAAAGATGGGCTATCATTTTGGCGTGCATTCGAATCATGTAATGGACTAAAAGAGAAGTATGCGTCTTGCTTCAAAAGTGTGCTAACATAATTGTCACACCTTGGACAGTTGAACGTGCATTTTACTCAAAAGCTTTTTGTTTTTTCCTTTTACTCTTCCCAGTATTATTTCCTAGATATCTCTCAGTAGTAGGATCTTTGTTTTCACTTAGTGGTCCAAACTTGATTTGCTGGTAAGAAGATCACAAGGATGGCTTGCCTTGAGAGGGCGTCGCCAGCACTGAAGGAGGTCCTGCTCAAACTGCACCGGTAAGCCTTGCACCTTTGACATTTTAATAATGCTTTCAGTGCAAATGTTGCTTCATTTTGTTTTCTAGCACCAGTGGCTCTTGACATGCAGAGCTCTGTATCAAGTGATATCCTTTTGTGGATCCATCAAGAGGAGCTACTTTTCTGTTTCTCCAATGGTTTTCTCAGAGAGGGGAATGCAAGATTGGACTTTCAATTCTGATAGTAGTGCTCAGGGTCCATTTGGTTTACGGGAATAGGGGTATGAAATTCTGACTGTTTGGTTAGGCAGAATCAGAATCTGATTCCCACTCCTAGTGGAATGACATTCCCCATTTGAGGGAATGACCATTCCCACTCTCCCTTGGGAATGAAAATTTCATTCGAGCCCATTCCAATTCTGATTCCAATTTCCATCTGAAAAAGACAGATGAGGGAAATAGACCATTTCGATTCTGATTTCAAGGGATTTTGACTCCATTCCATTTCCAACTGCAAACTAAATGTATCCTCAGTTGCTGACATATCTGAGATTTATATTACCCAAAATGTGGAAAATTGGCCTCCTAATATAGAAAAGATGACAAAAAGATCCCAAGCTTTAAAGTTTAAATGACCATGTTCTTTTGCTATTTGGACCAAACTAATTTTATTTTCTCAGCAAGTTTGCTCAACGAGAAACACTTTTTAATGTGTGAATGATCCCGTGCCAGGATTATACGCGGTAAAGTTTGCTGCATTGTGCCCAAATACTATGAAAGTCAGAAAGGGCTTAACATTTTTCTTATTTCCAAACAGCCCTTTCTTCTTGACTATTATTGATACTGCGTAGACAACCACCAAGTAGTGAACTACCCGGCACCCACCTTGGCAGGATGCCGTATTATTCTTTTTAGTGATACCTGCATTCTCCACCAGATAGGATGCAGAGCAACCAGTTGAGTCAGTTGACTTCTTCATTCAATTATTCATATAAAGTCATATGATGAGATGCAAACATATTGCAAAATTATTGCAACCTGTGCAGAAATTAATGTAGTTAGGTAGCTTCTCATTCAGTTCTATTGGTTGCAGAACAGTGGTTAATGCTTGGGTTTACCAACCCTTTCAGCTCTAGCATATGGGAAAATAGCTGTTCAAACTTCTACCCTTCAATCCTTCATTGCCAGTTTGCAAAACAAGTCTTTCCTGTGAATGAGGCCTTGTAGACAGCACCATCTACAAAACAAACATAGACTACTTTAGATTTTAGAGGACTTTCATGGTTATGTAAGGTCCACAAAAACTACAATTCAGAACATAGTCTTACTTGTTGAGTATTTCATACTTCATATTTCTAGGCAGAGGTTGCAGTGACCAGATCGTGGGTCTAGAAGTATAATGCCTGAAAGATCAGAATCTGTAAATCCAGTAAGAGTCCATTATATCAGTGGGCATTACCTGGTTCTGATATTCCTGATGCTCCGGTTGATAATGCACTCTCAGATTGGTAAGCAGGAAGTAGGCATTTGATTTTAGAAAGGCTGCGGTTGATAATTGAAAGTAACAATTTTCATCAAAAAGTAGTAGCAAAATGGAACACGAATTATTAGTGAAACTGAAGAAAGAAAACAAACATAGAGATAATGATAAAAGTAAAGCTTAGCACATTATGATCCACAAGTTTCTAAGTTTCTTTCTCTTAAATTAGGATTTTGGTGTACGTCTTATATTACTGGGATCATAAATGAATAAAAAATAATAAAGTGATTTAAAAGTACTGGAAATATTAATACTCCAACACATAACCACTGCACAATGTATTAAAGCTCAAGTAGTCTTCCAATGAATATTTAGACATTAAAATAAGTTAGAACTTTCTCTACTTAAGCACAAAAAAAAAAAAAAAGAAAACAAATAAGTACACTGCACCACACTGCAAAATTCTGAATTCCACTGCAGACCTACAACAATTCAAAATGTCAAACATCCCCACCCTAAACACCAATACCCACCCATGTATTGGCATCAATTCCGAGCTGGCACCTATGACCTACCCCAACAGTACAGTGGGGCAACGAATTCTGGGGGTGGACTGAACTGTCATTCTCCCAAAAAAAATTATTACAAGCATTCGCATTTGAAAAGTTAAGACGATCTGCAGCTAATCTAATATTGTTTTTTTTCAGGTTAAGGCATCGAAGAATATTCTTTAAAATTCTTAATCACAAATTCGTTGTCAGGATGATACATCACATCTAAGACAAAGTCTATACACAATGTCATGTGGGTGATGTTCCTGAACCCTATTTGAAAATAGTCTCACTGCTAGCATAATCTTCATTCTCCTCTCTCAGAAAACTATTAGAGATGCCAAGTAAAAGAATGGAATGCCATATGAATCAATCTAAACTTGTAGCTAAGTCCTTGAGTGGTTCTCTGAAATAAAGAATGCAATGGTAACTTGAATACAAAGCTAGTTCACATTTAAAATTCCCGTCTCATTACCTTCCACCCTCATAGTTGACAGATTGATCCATATCATAATTTCCTCTCTTGCTATTCTGACACAACCATTGCTGGCTTTGTTTGTTCTTCAATCTTCTTATGGACTTGAACTTCAACTGGTAGAATTAATCTCAGGTGTGCAGCTGTTTTACTTCCTCTTGACTGCATTTCAGAAAAGGATATATCGTTTTTTTCCTTCCACTATGTAAATTGCAATGTGATTCATAACCTCAAAATGATAAACATATTACTTTCTTTGAACTTAATAATTGCAGTTTCAACCTTTGTATCAAATATTTACTGATCCTATTCCAAGAAGTTATGTTCCCATGACTGGGTACTTCTACCATATGACCTTTTCAACTATACTGATGTCTTATCATAAAAAGTAGATTCAGATCTTCTTGATGATCCATGTTATTTATTTTCTGGCAGTGCTGAAATACCAAGGGAGATTGATCACCACATATATGAATTTGGATCCGTTAAATATCATATTCAGGTAGCATCAAAAGATCTTTGCACAACAAAATTGGTTAATGGATATGTCCTAATACAACTATTTAAGGCTTCCCTCATATTTGTTTGTATACTTTTTAGCATTTAATACAACAGAAACATTAGAATATACTTGCACATAATTATCATGGCAGGATTTGAGGGATGAGGTACTACTCATAAACTCCTTTCATTTTCTGCTTTGTTCCAACCAGTTGGCAAACCAGAAAAAGAGATCCTCAGCTGATCTTTGTACAACACAATTCCCTTAGACAATTTATGGGGGAATGAAAATTTCTCTCTACTAACTTAACACTTAATACCTTTTTCTCCTTATAGGCGACTGTAGAATGTTGCCTTGTTGGTTTTCCCTGATTAGGATAAGTAGATGTTATACTCAGTATCTGATGATGATGATATAATGTGACAGGCTTCTGCATCCGATCCTTATCATGTCTACTTGTCAGTATCAACCCCATTACTGTCCCAAGGAACCGTGGCAGTGGATAGCCTTCCACATTCTACCTTAGAGACTGTAAAGAGGTTTTACTCTGATATTGTGGAGGTTATTGAACCACAAAGGGGAGGATACCAACTTACTCTACGACTTAACTTTGACAAGCTTCCACATGGCAAAGGTCTGGTAAAATTCTCGTGGCTTTTAGTGATGATCAACTATTGATTTATGATTTCTTGAATTTTCAATTACTTGTCATATGGTAGTACTAGCTTTTTCTCCTTTTAGTGATAGAATGGGTTGCTTAAAAGTGCTAAAGAAGAGAATTAATCAACAGATGCACTGTGTGTATGTATGTGTATGCATGTATATATCTTTTTTGTTTTTGAGAAAAGGTAAATTTCATTCAAAAGAAAAGGGCAAGATGTGAAAGCTGTAGTTACTGTATATTTTGCCTACATTGAAGATGTGCTTATGGCATAGGAGGTATTAACCAATGGTAGTGGTGCGGAGCCATTCACAAGAATCTATGTGAATAAACATGACGGAGGTGATTGTGAATTCATTAGGAGATATTTACGATCGTCTTACGCTGTTGGAGAGGAGTTTGGTAGGTCGACTTGTCAATTCTGATCTAGATGTGGAAGCTGTAGGGGACTGGGCTGTTGCTTAATGGTGCCCAAAGAATCCTTTTCAGGTTAGAAAGTGGAATGCTGTTTTTTCTCTTTACCTTCAATAGTAAGGTGGAAGCAAGCGTTGTTTTGAAGCGAGAACAGAGTAAGAAGCATTTTCCAGATCTTAGGATCGGGAGATGGAACCCATTGGTTGGTGCAATTAGAGACTTAGGCCCTTCAAGCTTGGTGTGGTTAAACATTTATGAAATCCCTTTGCATGCTTGGTGCTTCCAAACATTCAAAGCCATGGGGGATGTGTGTGGGAGGTTTAGGTTTGTGGACTCAAATAGCAAGTTCCTGGTGTAATCTCATTGCTGCATGTATCTTAGTCAAAGTTAAAGAGATTCACTTGGTTCCTACTCTGTTATCCCTTCATTTTGCTGGAGATATTTGACTTAAAGCTTGTTGTCAAGGGTTCCTACCCGTTAACATGGGTAAGTAATGTGACTTTGTGAAGGGAGGATAGAAGCAAGTGTTTACAGTCTTCTGCTCCGTTGGGAGGGAAGATGAATGGACAGGTAGAAGAGGGAGGAATAGAGGCGGAAAGGGTCATTGAAAAAGGAAAATGTAGGACTCCAAAAAACTGTGAAGGAAGTGGGGTCCACTTGAAGTCAGCTAAAGAGGAGGAAAGGGATTGCCCACTTGCTTTAATGGTTAGTGGTCATGGCAGGGTAGAGTGACTGAGGGACACATGGAAGGCCAAGAAAAGGGGTTGGGGCTGACAAGGGAGATGAAATGTCCTCAAATTTGGAAATCGAAGAGGCATTTCTGGCTGTGAGATTGGATATTGGCTTGAATGCGACCCATTCTACAAAGTCCAAGCCTAATAATGTGAGGAAGCTTAACCGCTCAAAAAGGTTAAGGGTGGATGAAAGGAATTTATTCATTGTCGAATGCCCAAAGGTGAAAAGGTGTGGGATTTCGAGCAGAACTCTTTTGGGCAAGGAATGAAGGGGTAAGGAAGAACGATGGGAATGGGTGATTTTCAATTACAAAAGAAGTGAAAGGGGGTCACTGGGAAGGCTGAGAGAGAGCGTGCTGATTGTGAGGCTGACCAAAGTTCTAATACTGTCAACTGTGTCTCAGTCTGCTGTGGTCGAAATAAGCGTGAGTCTGCTTTGCTTCTGAAGCGGTGACCCATAAGGAGGCTGATGTTGTGTTGTCTCAGGCTACCATCTCTGTTGCTAAAGAGATTTTGGTTAGTGCTTCTAGGTGAGATTCTAAAAGAAGCAAAATTTGGGTTGGGGGAGAGGAAGAAGGAAGCTGTGAAGGGGTTAGGTGATGCCGAATTTGGAAGAGATTTGAGAGTTGGAGGATGAAGCAATAACAATGACATGGATGGTGGTAGAGATTGGAAGGATAGGTGTGGATTTGGGTAGGAGGAGGGTGGTAGAGAAGGATTTTGATGCAGCTGAAGTGCTGGCCTCCACAAGAATTTGTGGAGCAAGGAATCTGCACATTGTTCATGTTACCAAAGTCTTTTCTTGGTTGAAACTTGGTTTGGGGGGGCAGGGCCCACAAAAATTACACAAGGGTGTATAAGAGAAGAGGAGGGAAGACTAATGTGCCAACAATGGAAGTTGCTAGTGATGAGGACTCTCAGGTTTACACCAGACTGGATGTTCAGTTGGGGAATTCTCAGCAAGAGAAAGATAGCGATAATGGTTTCGACTCTGCAGCAAGAGTTATTGATCCTTGAAAAAAAGGATGAGAGGCCTGGAAGTTTACCTATTTGAAAAAACTGTTGAGAAAGATGTAGTGGTTGAAAAAAGATCTTTGGCTTTTTTTTGGGGGGAGGGCGGTGGTGAGGAGTTTGCTAGGAAAGCTTTCGAGGAGTTTGAGAGGAGAAAGAAGAAAGAGAGGATGAGTAAAGTTGTAATTGAGGAAGAAGGAGAGATTTGGGATGAGGATGAAGATGGGCAGGAGGAAGTGTTTGAGGGGAAGGATTAGGATCTTGGCTTTGCAAGGTTCTGCTTGGTTTTAAAGGAGGTAGTGGAATGTGGAGTTGTCGGGAGTTCTGGTCCTGCTTGGTCTTTGTTTCTGTTAGAGTTATGTAGCCTGATGTCGATGGTTGTAAGTCGTGTCTTAGTGTTCTCTTTCCCTCAGGTGATAACTTGTCACCTTCCTTTTGTATTCTCTTTTTCTTTTTTGAATGATACTAAATTTATTAATTCAGAAGCAGATTTAGAGTGAGTTCATACAACATCCCAGGGAGAGGCGCGAGCTGCAGCCCCTCCTTGAATCTTACAAGTAAACTAGGAAAGAAAAGCAAGAATCACAACTGAGCCCAAAACAATTCTACCCTATTTACCCCTTGCTTAGCTAACACATCTGACAAAGTATTTGCTGATCTCCCCACCCACTGTAC